GATAAACCCTAGTCATAATAAAACAGTTACATGTACTGAGTATATGCCATGCATAGTATTGCATACGATGTTCATGATTAATCTATCCGCATCTAAAAAAAAATAATGCAAATCACGAAAAGTACATGTAAGCAAATATGCAACATCGACGTGGAGAGAAGACAAGAGCTACATGTACAATATTATTTACTTGAGAACAAGAGCTGTAAGAAGAAAGTAAGCAGCAGCACTCGGCATTTGACAATTCTGCGTCCATTCACCACCATCACATTTGCGCTCTGCGGCCGACCACGTTCATTCCCCACAACAGCAACAAGATGTTCGCAATTCGGAGTACTGAAAATATTATTTCAAAAGCTGTATTTACTAAAATAATAATAATAAAAGCGCAGACCTCTGGTCCTGCAGGCCTGTTAGCATCAGACCATCAGTGTGCGCACCATAAAAGTAAAAAGTAAAGTAAATTATCGTGTCCGTTCCCGAAGGGAACTCACGACGGCCGCTAACACCCGGTAAACCCTAGCGGCAGATGCAGCGCCTAACGGTGGGGGTGAGTGGATAAGTCTCACAGGCACAAGTGCCGAGAAACCCATGTGCACCTGCATGCAGCATAGGATAGATTGGCCAACAGGGAATGGAGGAGAAGAGGGCTAGGGGGGGGGGGGGGGGAGTTGGGACAGTGGTGGACAACACAGTGATAATGACCATGTCATGCGCTAGCTCTTGGCCGCTTTTGGACAAAAGTCGTGTAAGTGTGTAGTCCAACCGGACGGACCTGAGAGGATGATGGCTGTGCTTCACCTTGAAACGTGCTCCCATCAAACATTACTGAAATGTAAGTCTTGTTCTTCAGCTCTTCCTGCATAAGGTCTCGTTCCATCTCCAGCCATGAACGGGATACACATGTACAAGAAGCAAAGGTGAGTGCCCAATGCCAGGCGCTCAGCTCCCGTTTCCAAAACAGGACGAAGTGAATCAATCTTGGCCAATGGAATTCCTGCCATGCACAAGCAAAGCCCTGACAACGACGTTACGTCTTCTCAGGCTGGGCTCACCTGGCAGCTAGGCTGGCACAGCTTCAGGCAGGCCCATTCCGCACGTGCTTTCCCGTTCCGCTTTGGATACTAGCTCTCCCACGACCTTTAAAAGCACTCCTAACGACGTTGCTACCGAAGCTCTTCTCCTCTGTTCGACGGATGGATGGCGCGAAGATGCAATGTGATCCTTGATGATGCTCTTCTTCAGAGCAACATCGCCGTGGCAGGCATCACAAACTTTAGCTTTCCAGCAGAAACGGCCAGCCGATTTCGCAAGGAAATAATTCACTTAGCCGCTGCTAAGAACTGACATTGACCTTTGTATTCTCCCCTTCGCCGTTTTGGCCCTCTTTAATAGCGACGCTACTTTTTTTCGAGGATCTGTCCAGGATCGTTTGCGGGAAAAAAAGGGGCGTCTCCTTTGCCTCAGTTATTTCCTTTCCTCGTTAGGGGCGTGACCGTAAGTCATGCGAAGAGGTGGTATTTCCTCGTATCTGTCTCCTTCTCTTCATCCAAGATGTCCAACTCCAAGCCAGAGAACCGCAGTCAAAGCCACGCAAACGACATCTATCGTCATTCTCCATTGATGAGCATGGTTAGAGTCGATCAACTGAACCAGAGTTTGAACAGGCAGACGTGCACAAGGTAGCACCAGACTGAAATATTCCATTGCAAGGAAGTGAGGTTGAGCACTGCTCGATAGCGCTAACCAACGGCTTTGCAACTTGGACGGTTCACGGATATTTATTAGTGATAATTTCAAAGAGGGGAAGGTAAGCGCAATCAAGCCGAACACAAGCTACATGCCAAGGCACAGCGGAATGCTGGCTTGGTACGATAACGGGACGGTAAGACCCTTGGACAATACGGTCTAACCACAATTCGACAAAGCAACGCCTTGGTTCTGTCTTCCCCATTCCGTTCTCTAATGGACTGTGCACTTCAGTATAAAAAGAAAGCAACAACCACCCAACTTGAGAGGGGTTATTTTTATGAAGGATAAGAAATGAAAGGGAAGCTTCGTGAGGACGAATTGTAAAAACCGAATGCCAATATCCTACAGTACTATACCTGGTTAAGGACTATGATGGACAAAATAACTACATGACTGTAGTATCACACGACGATCATTTCACCGTAGATCTATGGATCGTGACGGCTCTTCAGCGCAGGTGTCACCGTTTCCCTTGGCTCACCATCCGAGTACTTGCTGCACACCTGACGAGTAGGGATTGGCGGATAATGCCGGCAGAAAATTCTGCAGAAAACGGCATCACAGACGAGAGAGCAGAATTTGGCAGAACTGATGCTTCAAAAAGCAGAATATCTATCCTGAGTCCTAAGACTCCTAACTAACTACTTGTAGTTACTTCAAGGCTTTCCCTTGCTCTCACTTCTCAGCAATCCTGGGTACTTTTTTTAGCACTGCATTTCAAGCGCTCGCTTGTGCTTGCGCTTGGCAGAGGGCGGTGCGTTTGGGCCCGAGACACGACGCTACATCATCCAGTCCGCAAGCCACAGTACAAGTGGCAGGCGGCCAGGCGTTGGCGCTTGACTTCGTGCTGCATTACAGAGGTCAAAGTGCAATGTCTGTTTCAGCACTCACGCGATATACCACACATTGAAGATGGCGGTTACTCAATTTTTTATTCTATTTTATATCGAATTAGAGGGTTTGGATTGGAGGCAACAACGTTGTCCAACGGGCCTCAGCGTTTGTTCAGCACCTCCATGACTGAGCGACACTGACTCACGCTGCATGCTATCTGGTACTAGCTGGTAGGCCCCCGTGTAATATGCCGGCATTTTTTTTAGCATTTTCGGTACAATCCGCGAACCCAGCACTTTGGGCTCGTGATGCTGCATTTTGGGGGAAACGGAGCACTTGGCCGTTGTGTATCAAAATTGAGAGAAGAAAAACTTCCCAAACAAGAACGTCACTTCCGCATTCCGTGGGTTAGCTTCTTGTTGAGTAGTTTATGAATTGTTTACCATGGCAGCCTCGAGCAAGTCTCTTATTGAGTATTTTCTGACTCCCTGGTTTTGACGGCGTGTGCTGAGGATGACAAAAAAGTGAGCATTTTCCGAGCATTTTCGGCAAGGTTTGGGAGCATTTTCGGCAAGGTTTACGAGAATTTCCCAAAAGCATTTTCGGCAAAGTTTCGGGCATATTACACCGGGGCCTACTAGCTGGTGTTCACGAGGTGTTTGTCACGCTGGAAATGGAGCGTCTCTGTAAGTTAGTTTGTATCCCTGGTGATGTTTGTGCCTGGAGGGCACTATACATGTACACAGACTTGAGTACATGTACATGTAAGTGGTGCTTTTCAGGCACAATCTTCCTCAGCCTACTCAAGCTCAACTGCATGATGAGGGGTGACAACACACACTTCCCCAAGTATCGCCGAAGTCTCACCAACCTCTTCTTCACACTGTTGTCCCCGGCGCGGGCTTGCGAATTAGATTGTTTGGAGGCAACAGCGGTTGTGAATGGCCGACGGGCCTCAGCGTTTGTTCAGCACCTCCTTGAGCGACACTGACTCACGCTGCTATCTGGTGTTCTCGAGGTGTTTTTCACGCTGGAAACGGAGCGTCTCTGTAAGTGTGTATCCCTGGTAATGTTTGTGCCTGGAGAGCACTACCGGTATATAAGTGGTGCTCTTCAGGCACAATCTTCCTCAGCCTACTCAAGCTCAACTGATGAGAGGTGAATTCCCCGAAACACTGTGTATTGAGCAGGGAGTGATGCTTTCTTGCAGGTTTGCCTAGTGGTAGGTTCGATGGACTTCTCGTGTGCTCTGGATGATAGTCGTGAGTCAGTCAAGTGAGAATTCAAGTTGGCAGGAATAGCGCAAGCTCCCACGTAGGGAGCAACACACAATTCCCCAAGTATCGCCGAAGTCGCACCAACCTCTTCTTCATATTTTTATAATTACATGTACCAGGTACATGTAATAATTATGATGTATCATAATGATGATGCGGCCTATTTAGCTCGTAGCTGTACTGATGAGGCCTTTATGGCCGAAACAGCTTGCTGTCTACAGCATTGGGTGATGTATCATATGATAAATTTAAATTATGTGGAATGATAATTGACATGCAACCGGATGAGCAGAAAAATCAGCAGAATTAGACTCGGCCCCATGTCCTTCGACCAGAATTTTGAGCAGACTGAAAAGCAGAATTGCTTCCTTCGTAGTAGTAGTAGTAGTAGTAGTAGAATTTATTATTTTGATAGGGAAGGCCCTACAGACGTTCTTCGTGGTCCACTGGAGCATTATCCGCCAGTCCCTACTGAAGTGCCGTCATGATCCATCGCATATGCGAAGCCCAAAACATACATGTATTCTGCTCCCACATCCCAGGATTCTGCTTTTTTCTGCTCAATATCCGACGAAGCCATGGAAGGCTTGGTTCTGCTCAAAATTCCCATTGTTGAATGGCTGGTTTTAATAGTTATGCCATAATAGACTTTTATAGTGCAAGCCTACGCTATCAGTATAATGTAGGCGCCAGTGCAGTGCAGTCACAGTGCATACACTTGAATGATACAGTGTGCATGTGTGAGTTCATGAGTGTCGGCTCCTACGCATAGTCCAGACAGGGGGTTGTGTACTCTTGCTTGTATGTGCACACACGTCTGCGTCAACATGGTCATGTCAGGTAGGTGCGCAGGTGAGAGGCGAGATCATCAAGTCAGACTAGACTGCGCTTGCGTTCAACGATTACTACTACAGTTCAAGTGGCAAGATTGTGCGTGTGGTCATAATGACCACTACTCCGTACTCGCACCGCTTGATACTCGTACTCGGAGACGTAGATCTACCTAGACCTAACTAAGCTACTTCAGTACTTACTCGTAGACTCCTCGGATCCACGAGTTCGTCGAGTGGTGGACGCGATGACAACATGCATGTCGGATGCGAGTACGTGTCGCGTCGACTGTTGCCATGCGCCATTGTTGCCTATATCAAGCATGCGCTCGTCCTGTCATTGTGCTAAAAAGTTTTTTACTTGTTGGCGCATGGAAGCCTTCTTGTAGAGAGAGAATCTCGTCGGACCGGCTACTCTAGGCAGCAGATCTGTTTGTCAGGTTACCTACCTGGCAAGGTACGTATTCTTTTCTGTCCTGTCTGACGCGTCGTTTGCTTTGAGAAGCGTTGCGATGTGTTCAAAATTTCGTTTGTTTTATTGTTCAATTTCGATGTTGGCGACGAACAATTTACAGTTTTTTTGTTGATTTGGGACATGATCGCGAATGGCTAAACATGTTGTGGAGATGGAGAAGGCACATAAACGAATTCTAGTGTGCTGTTCTCTGTCGTTCCTGACGTTCTGCAGTAGTCTGCTAGACCGCTTCTGTCTATAAGGACTTGGATTTCGCAAGTATGGAATCGTCAAGTGTGCTTGAGCCCTCAGTTGAGCCAACTGGGAGCCCTGCTCCCAGCTATGCCGAGGCATTTCCACCATTGGACACTGGTGCTACTGGTACTGCTGCACCAGGAAAAGCATGGGTTCCTGGCAAAACCTTGCGACCTTCGACCGTCACTCAGGTAAGTTCTCATTATTTTTTTCTTTGTGAACTTGATTCTGACTTGTTCACTGCCTAGCCATGGATGTAGCCCTTGTGGCGGCGTGTAAATTGTGATGCACACTCATTGTACTTGGCGACTAGTTGTTTGTGGTGGTCATCGCCTGTCGCCTCGGACTCTGACCGTGCTGGCCCAAGCTGTCATGCTGCCAATATTCCAGTTGCTTGGACACCATGTAATGTGTCATTGTGCCCATGTTGCTTGACAGGTCTGTACTCATTGATCGTGTTTATGCCACACTCGAGTCCTGGTGAGCTGCGGAGGTGCTTCACCCTTGCCCTCTAGACTCGGCTATTATTCGTGTTCTTGATAATGGTCGCCATGATCTCGATTGTTATGATCAATGCAATTATTTCTGAGGAACAGTGCTGTCAGTTCGGAAACCTACGAGAGTCTAGTTGTATTGGGTCGTGCTGGTGCCCCCCCCCCCCCCTCTCCCCATTGCGTGCGCACAATGTTGACATTAGTACTAGTTGACATACGGTCCATTCAGAGGATGAAAAATCATGAGCAGATTGACTGAGCTTTTACTAGACTTGTCAGACTAGTGCGTATGTCCTTGCAGAAATGAGTCCATGGAAAATTAATGATATTCTTCTCATGTCTACTTCGTGGTTTCATCCGTTTCATTTGTGTCAGTGGTGTCTTCAACTTCATTCTCATTTGTGTACTGTAAAAATAACCTGTGTAAGACGACCAGGCAGGGGAGTGGTAGAGAGTCGTCACCTCGGCCAGGTGGTCCAGTTATCCACGTTCAAACACATTCACTTCATACACATGTGGTTCGTCATTCTGATCAGTCCACCACACAGCATACACCTGTGCTATTTACAGTGTGTAAGCTATTTACAGTGTGTATATAGCACAGGAACAGGTCCCTGCATCAATTGGGGGTGATCAAGCATGGTGGCTGATCAGGTTTCTGGTGTGCCAAGAGCTGTCGTGCAACCTTTGGTACATTTCTTTCGCTGATATGTACGGTGCCTTGGGTCCAGGTAGGGTGCAGTGCGGGCGCGTGCCGGTGGTTAGCGCTCGCCTTATCCGAACATATGTGACGAAGGAAAGTGGTTGTCTTGTTTGAGTGTTCGCCTTTACCATTTTATAGCTTGTAGTCTTCCTAGTTTTGTAGACATTTTCGTTGATCAGGTCTTTGTTTTCGTTCTGTGCGGTGCATTCCTTTTGATTTCCAGGTATTCACCATTCCCCAAGTTGAACAACGTTACCGTGACTTTGACCTTGGCGAGCACTCTGAGCTCATGAGGCGTGTCCGTTCTCTGATGGCTAGGACTGGTGCTGAAGTTGAACTGAGCAAGAGCAAGGACCAAAGCCTCCATGTTGTTGTCTCAGGAAAGCGCGATCTCGTATTGGAAACCCGTCGCCAGCTTCTTGCTGCCCTTCAAACCCAGGTAAATCACATGTGGTGGACTTCAGCGCTCTTTACTTGTATAATTTCACCGCTTTTGCAACGTGGAGTACCAGTATCGATGTCTTGTCTTATAAGCTGTTGGCTGTGATGTTCTTCCTGTTGTCAGGCTAATCTCGACATGAAAATCCCACGTGACCACCACAAGTACATCCTCGGCAAGGGTGGCCAGAAATTGAAGGATCTCGAGAAAAACACCGCCACTCGCATTCTGATTCCACGCACCGAAGACACGTCTGATGTTATCAAGATCACCGGCACAAAGGAGAACATTGACAAGGCCAGGCACTACATTCAGTCGATTTCAGATGAGCAGGTAACTGCCTGACTATATAGTGCCTGTAGTACTGGAGTAATTATTGATCTACATTGTGATGTTGTGAGGTCTGAGTCACTTTGGAGGTGAACATTTTTTTGTGTTCTGAGTTATTCTGTAACATGCACAGATATCTGCAAGGGATACTCACCTTTTTCTTGCCTTACGTTAACTGTGGTGCTCCTTATACAGGCTAAACTTGGATTCGAGCGCTTGAACATCCCAAAAAATTTCCATCCATTCATCACCGCTAAATCTCAGGAATTGCGTGAAAAGTACAGCGTGCGCATCAACATACCACCACCTTCAGTGCAGAGCGATGACATCACCATTGCAGGCGATCGTGATGGAGTCACTCATGTTACTGACGAGATCAACCAAATCTACGAAACCAAGGTTAGTTTTGATCAGCTAGCACTAGGCTTGTTCCTGCTTTTCATTTTGCCTTCTTCTGAACTGGGTTACCAGTACCAAGTGGTGGAAATGCTGGTGGAGTCCGCCAAAACAAGCACGCCCTGTACTTGAGGGTTATCACGCTGCATCCGGTAATGTATGCAAGCTACTTTTGGCGTGTCTTATGCAGCACTTCCATGCCGTCACCTAATCCACATGCTTTTCGAGCAACTCACTTTTCCCAATATGAACCCTTTTCCGTCTGGTAACGCACAGCAGGAGTCAGACATATGCACTATCTTGTTTGCACCCTTACCCGTATAGTACGTGCCCTTACAGTTCAGCCAGGTTTCTTGTGTAGTCGCTGAAATTTCAAGTTTGAACAGATAACTGATTGGGGAATTAGCTTCTCAGCCAGGTTTCGCATAGCCTTTGCAAGTTATATGCATCAGGCTGTGCCGAGACCCAAAGCCAGCAAGAAAATATGTTGACAATGCCAGCGTTGATATTTTTTCCAGTACTCAGTCAGGGAGAATGCATTCGTGTCGAATTCCATCGGTCGTGTGACCTAAACCTTTTCTACTTTCCTGTGTTCCTTTGTTTTTACAGAAACGAACAACGACGACCATATCTATTCAAGTTGGGAAATCCCAACACAAGTACATCATTGGCCCCAAAGGTCACACTCTGCAAGAAATTCTCAAGGAGACTGGTATGTTAGCTGGCAGTTCTCTCTTTGATATTGTTTGAATGGAACGCACGTGGCAGATAGTTCAGTAGCTGTGTTTCGGTCATAGGGATACAGTACGGATCGGCTATAGCGTTGGTGTTTGATTTTCGTGAAAATATTACTACAGGCGATATATTACTACAGGCGATATATTACTACAGGCGATATGCATACTTAGGTATGCCTGACACATGCGTGCGTGTATGGTGTCATTCGAATCAGTGCAGTGTGCAGAAGCGTACTGTGCATGTGACTGTGCAGTACGCGCAGTGCAGAGCTACTTCGTGCGGAAACAAAAACTTCGTGACTTTTTGACATGAGTTTTCAAGGAGTTGCTGTGCTCAACAAATGTGTTCTTTTGGAAGAGAAACACTTCAACACATTCAATCGACATATCAACAATATCTACAGGATCGATTAGTGGGAGTACAGTCTCAGTCTGGGTCGCCATTGCTCGACTCATCACCGCTGAAACCGTTCCAAGTGGCAGGTCGTTCGACGCGTGATGTCGTATGTCACGGAGAAGCTTCTCCGCGTCCCTGATCGTCTTCGCTGTTACCTGAATGCCTTCTCCAACATCTCGGCGGAGACCACGGTAGGGCTTCAGCGCTGGTACTCATTACTGCCTCCGCTCTCGCTCGAGGATGCCCCGGAACAACAAGCACAGCCAACGCCAACTATTTCGAATTTCCTCCGAGGGATATCATAGTTGTACCAGCGCTTCCTGACTGCCGCGATCAGATCTCGCCATGTACGATGTATAATTTTTATGATCATCACTATAGCCGATGAAAAATGTATGCAATAGAATCATTTTGACAAAGAAATCGTATCATTATAGCCGATATATTACTATAGCCGATCCGATATGTATAGAAAGGGGTGGTTTACGAAAATGAATTTGAGAATACGATCACTATAAGAGGTATATTACTATAGCCGACAACCCTATAGCCGATCCGCACTGTACCTTATGACAAGCCCCTGTTTGAGATTAAAGTGATTGTACTTGGTATACGGTAATTGAAGCTTTGCTTTTCTGTAGTCTTTCGCTGACGTGAATTAACTTTGTGTGAAAATCATGTAGTGACGTACTAGTAGTGCGTATGGACAGGTTTCATGCTGGTCTCCTGCTGCACAGCTTAGTTGTACGCACCATGTCATTTCCCGTCGGACACCTGCACCTACAAAGTATGATGTAATCCAGGAATTTTGCCGTGATGGACACCCATGCAGAAAATGTCAGAAGCTGTACAGTCTGGGTTTCACGTATACTAGTGCGCTGATAGCTTGTACGGATTGTTGAGGAAGGTGGGAAAGATGTGGATAGTGAAACGTGTTCAGTTCGTATAATTCTCGACGCAAGTGGTTGGGTTGATCGGCATGTTCATATAACCAACAGCCTTCCATTTCTGCCTAGCTTCGGTTTTTCTTTATTCTTATGCAATGCTCGCTGGTATCCCCTTTCTTGTTGTCAGGCGTATCTGTGGAGATGCCCCCACAGGACAGCACCACGGAGACAGTCACGCTGCGCGGCGAGCGAGACCACATCGGCAAGGCTTTGGTTGTTGTATACGAAAAGGCAAGCAGTGTACTGGTAACTGAGGTCAAGGCCCCTGCCTGGCTGCACCGTTTCATCATTGGACGGCAGGGTCAGAACATCAGCAAGATCACACAAGATCTACCCAAGGTGCACGTTGAGTTCAACGCCGAAAAGGAACTCATCATTGTTGAGGGCCCGCCAAATGAGGTCGAGAAGGCACGCGACCAACTACAAGCCTTCACCGAACAGCTGGTAAGTAAAAAAGGGCAATTTCTAGAATCCTTGACAATCTTCAAAATGTCAAAAAGTCGGAATATATTTCCATTATGTACACGATTTCTGGTTTAGAACATCATGCAATAACTCCTGATATACTCTGAAACAGTAGATGTCTATGTCGGACAACGTCCCAGTCGAGCTTCCAAACGCACCTCTTTACCGTAACGTACCGTTGATCTGCCCCCTCTCTAATTCCCGCCCCCTGTCGATTTTCTCCTTGTGAAGCGACTTCGGCGTATACAACGAAATACGATGTTGAACCGACGCATGCACTGCTGTACACAATACTTGCCTATCCAGGATCAAAATGTGCACAATCCAGCACATTGAGTCTGATCCTCTACGGTGTTGTACATCTTACTGCACTTGTCAGCCTTGATCTAATTCCCGCCCCCTGCCGAAAACCCAGCTGGGAAGCGACATGGCGTGGGTGCGGATCAAGAGTACTTTATGGTATGCGCATCTTCAGCAGGCGCTCAGTTGTAGCTTCCCTCGTGCACTGCTTTAGACTGCTTTGCACCATCATGAATTTCTGTCAGAAATGAACACGTAAAATGCACAGAACACATGCCTAGGTAGCCGTTGTAATTGTTAAAATGTGACACGGACGTTCGCTAACCATGCTTGCATACCACTATGAACGTGGATATTTGGAAAAGGAAGTTCAGTAGGAATGACTGGCAGGATCCAAGGACTTAGGGTGGGAACCGCACTAATTTAGATTGGGTAGTTGAATTGTGTGCATGTATGTATCCTTCGTGATCAGTGCAAGACATCAACATCTTATGCACGCTTGTTTTATCTGTTTTTCGTTGGCATTGCAGATTCGGACAATGGATCATGACAGTGTCAAGATCCCGCAGAAGTTCCACCGTCACATCATTGGCAAAAGCGGCGCTACCAGTATGTTTACATTGATTAGTTGCTAGGTGCATACTGCGTGTCTTGGTGTTGACATTTTGGCTGATGTTGTGATGAAATCTTACCCTCTCGCACCTGTTTTTTTTCTGGTGCTGGTTGTGTGCTTCACGAAGTATGTAGTGCCAAATACGGTGAAACTCTAGTGACCGTTTTATATGTATCTTGAAAGGCTGTGGAAATCTGTACTGAGTAGCCGGGGCACTCGTCGATCTGCAGGCTGTACCGTTTTGTCCTTTGTGGACTCGTCGCGCAGCAAGGGGAAATCAGGCTGAATCCAGTACTCGAACTAATTGGTCAGTGGGCTACGCACAGCGCCAAGAGTACACAAGCTCCAACTAGCGTGCAACTCTGCATGCTCTTTTCTATTGGGTCCGCCAACGGCGGAAACTCACATCACGTGGTGTAGAGTTCACGCTGTTCGTTCCCATCTCGTTATAGCGAGCAGTGAAATGGGCTGTGTTTACACGAGGTGTTTCAACCCGCCATGAACACAGATTAACTGGCGCGTTTACATGACGCATTTCGCTTGACCCGGGTTGAAATCGAGAAATCGTACCACCGTACTTCTGTCCGTATATCACGCCAGGTTTGAACACCATTGCACAGGCAAATTTCGTGCGAAAGCATTCACGTAACCACACAGGACTCTGGAAGTGGACTTTTGGCGGTATTTCAGTAATAGTCTCGGGTCGACTGTCTTTGTGTAAACACTCACCTATTTTTTCCATTGTACAGACTTTCAACCCGTCTTGATAGCGTGACAGCAAAGGCGAGCTACTTGAATCCTTGAGATAATAAATATATCTCTGTTGAGTAGAAATGGCACATTGCACCCAATATTATGTTTTATCCAAATTATTTTACATTGTGTGCTGAATGTCGCTGTATGTACACAATGTAACGTTATTGTCATTTTTGTTTCTGTGCTCCTCAGTCAGCAAGCTCAAGACGCAAACCGGAACGCTTATCACTATTCCGTCGGATGATGCCAATAGCGATGTCATTCGCATCGAAGGTAGCCCGGAGGGTGTTGCCAAGGCCAAGGAGGCACTCCTGGATCTTTCTAACCGCATGGTGAGAGCTGCGCGCTGGTTTCTGCCTGTCGTGTGTATGTGCATAATTTTGTTTGTAGGCTTGGCTGTTGCTCGTGTGCTGTCAGTAGTTGCAGGAATGTCTTCTGCTTTCGTGTTTGTTACTCAGTTCTCCTGCTAGTTGGCCTAAGCCATGAACAATCATATATTATGTAACTCCTCCACCCCATTTTGGGCATGGCCAATCCGCAAGGCATTGAGTAATGTGAAAGTGGCTGCATTGAAGTGTGCAGTCTTTAAAAAATTATGAGTGTGTTGTTACTTGTATCGTTTAGTGTTGCAGTAGCCTGACTTGCATATGTGCATTTGTGTTTTTGTGTACCAATCACCAGGAAAATGAGAAGAGCGAGTCGGTACGTGTTGAGCAGCGCTTCCACTCCCTCATCATCGGCAGTGGTGGTGAGAAAATCAAGCAGCTACGGGATACTTGCAATGGTGTCCAGGTATGCTAGATCCAAACAATTATTTTGCCATCTGCTTCATGATGTTGTTTTCTTGTCATCTTCTACATGTCTTGCTGTTATGACACACCTGACTTGTACTGGCAGTGCTTCCATGAGGCCCTCCTCACGTTAGTTAAATCTGGAGTACACACTTTCAGCCCTGTTTCGAATTCCACTATGTATGCGTGTGCTACATGGCAGGTCCAGTGCAGTGTTTCTGAGCCCAGTCACCTTCGGTGCTGCGAGGGTCCACCAGTCTGGATTTCACTGGGTGCACCTGTTCTTGACTGGAGCTGTCCCATTTCTCCCTCCTCTTCTCCTTTGTAGGTTGTATTCCCCGAACAAGGTCGTAAATCTGACTTTGTTGAGGTCCGTGGACCGAAGGCTGATGTAGCTCGTGCAGTTCAGATGCTGAAGAAGAGCAATGAGGATCTCATTGCCGAGAACTATACCATCACAGTTCCCGTTTTCAAGAAGTTCCACAAGAACGTCATTGGCCGCGGTGGTGCCATGATCCGCAAGGTATGTGTATTTTGTGCTACCTTTTGCAATGTCCAGCATTGTGCCTTCGAATGTTTTCTTTTCCACATGATCTTTATGTGATTTATGTCAGCGGCGGCAAGAGTACATAACCCCCAAGAGTGTGCAACTCTCGCATACCATGCTGTCCCGACAGAATTTCCAGTTGACTTTGACGTCTGTATCCGTGTGGGTTTTTTTGACAGATCCGTGATGAGACTGGTTGTCGCATCGAACTTCCCAAGAACGATGCCGACAGTGATGTAATCACTGTCATTGGTCGCAAGGATGCTGTTGATAAGGCCAAGAAGGCCATTTTGGCTATCCAAGACGAGCAGGTCAGTAACTGCGCAGTGTTTGTCGTAGAGTATACAACCGTCCATGCCTTTATGCCAGGTGGACGATTTGGATGTTGTTGGCACATTGACCGGATACCTTAGCGGGTCGTCGCCTCATTGCACCACTTGTCATATAATTTCCGTGCGTGGTCTGCTGCGTTTGCGTAAAACATGGTGCCACTGCCAGCCCTGACTACCTTGTGGTGTGTTGGCATGATGGCACTCTTGGCGTGTGTCCAACTTTGCACGTGACATGTTGCGACTGTCTCAATTCAGGCCACCCAGACATTAGAGAAATCCTCATTCTCTTTCATGCACACCGCTGCTCAATGAAATCCAGTCTCGTCACTCGAGTACGCTCCGGGCGTTGTGCAGCCCTAGACCTGCGAACACTGGGCTGCGATATGGTGCAAGGCACAAACTTGAGCGACGCGACTGGATTTCATTGAGCAGGACTGTAATTAGGCAACCACATCTTTTTTGCGACTCTCTGTCTGGGTCGCTAGCTTTTCTGTCATTTTTACTGATGCGTCTGAATGTGGTGTTTGCTGTAATAGCTACGTTGTTATTGAATTGAAACCATTGCCGGGCTTGTGTATTCTCTTGTGTCTCCAGGGCAGCATGGTGACCGTGGAGCTCGACATCCCGCAAAAATACCACATTGCAATTATTGGACGCAAGGGCAAGCTTTTGGCTCAGATTCAGGAAGAGTGTGGCGGTGTTTCAATCAAGTTCCCTGCGGCTAAGGCCCAGAGCAGCAAGGTGTGTGCACGTTCTGGATTTTAAATTTTGCTTGATTTTGCCCATGTTCATGTGCTCATCAGCACAACTGTTGCTGTGTGTGAACCGTGTCACCCTGTCTCTTTTGCCTTTGGTGAGATCGTGCTGCCTGTACGTTCATCTCTGCTTGTCATTTTGTTGTTGTAGGTTGTAATTCGTGGTCCAGCTGATGAGGTTGAGCGAGCTAAGGGCCAGATTAATGAGCTGGCAAATGAGCGTGCTCTGAACAGTCACACCGAGGAAGTGCGTGCCAAGCGGGAGTACCATCGCTTCTTGATTGGTCGTGGTGGTGTCACCATGAAGCAGGTCAGTGCCTTTGCGAAGGATTTTAGCTCGTCGACCTACTTTTCCTATGCTGAGTAATTTTGTTGTCACTTAATAGTGTTTGGTGCCACTGTCAGTTTCCTTCTCTGTGGCGATCTGCATGCTGGTGGTGGTGTTTTTTTCTCTATTCAAGTCCGGATCATGCTTTAGCTGGTTGATGCCAACTGCTCTGGAATGAACCGCATCATGCAATGTTTCACAATCTAAACTCTATCTGGTTGGTTTCTGCCACTTTGTGTACTTAGATCCGCGAAACAACTGGCGCCCGTGTGCTTTTCCCAACGGAACAAGACGAGGACCCCGAGCTGATCAGCATTGTTGGCCGACAGGAGGGTTGTGTAGAAGCAAAGGCGATCCTCATGGAGAAGATCAAGAGCTTGGTATGTAGTTGGCGCTTTTATGTTAATCGAACGTAACTGAACTTTGCATGTTTATTTGGTTGTGGTGTAATGCCTATACTGCTTTTAATTCATGATTCTTGGATTTTTTCTACATGGTAGACCGCCTGAGAGATCTGCTGTGCTTATACCGTAAAAGCCCCTGTATACGCCCAGCCTCCATGTACACGCCCAGTCAGGGGAAATCAACACTTTTGTTTCAAAATAGCGCCCAGGTATGCCGGCAACACCAGTACATGTACAGGTACTGATGCCCAATACTTACTGCTATCCCTATTCCAAGTATACACCCGGTTCCGAAATAACGCCCGGGGCCTAAACACGGGCTTTTATGTAACATTATTGCCATGTACACATTTTCACTGTGCAGGAGAACACTGTCGAAGAGACCATGAATGTTCCCGTCAAGTACCACAGGCACTTCGTACAACAGCGTGGCCAGGTAGGCATTTTCTTCTCCTGTTGAGTGTATTCTTGTTGCGCTTGTTGTGCTCAATGTTCTCTGATATCTGTCATAACTCATATTGCTTTGGTGGAGTGAACATGTTATTTCCCAGGTACGGAGAACCGCTGTATTTCTGTTTCCACAATCATGTACTGGAATGATGTACCGGTTTATCTACAATTTGGGGTGTGTCTCATGTTTGTGTGTATTCAGGTACTGCGCAGCTTAGCCGAGGAGTTTGGCGGTGTTCAGATCAGCTTCCCACGCAGCGGTAGTGACTCCGAGAAGGTTGTCCTGAAGGGCGCCAAGGAATGTGTTTCCAGCGCTAAGCAACGCGTTTTGGAGGTCATGGCCGATATTGATTCGCAGGTCACCGTTGAATGCGAGATCCCAGCTGAGCACCACCGTTCTGTCATGGGACAGCGCGGCAGTAACGTTCAGAACATCACCAAGGACTTTGATGTACAGGTGTGTGAAACAGTATTCTTGAATGTACATGTATTGCTGAACTTACTTGTTTGTGTGTAGCAACTGCTGCATATCGCTAGCACGTGGGACTGATCAGCTTTATGGCCATCTACTAAAGCCGTGTAGAGTAGACACTTTCTCACCTTATCCAATAGTTATCTGATTTATTTTGTGTTTGTTGGCTGGTATCGTTGTCTTCAGATCAAGTTCCCTGAGCGCGTCAGTGCTGATGCTGACCCCGATGCAGTGAAGTCCAACATCGTGAAAGTCACTGGCAAGAAGGATAATGTTGACCGGGCTTGTGATGCTCTGAAGGTGTGTGTTATTCAGTGTTTTTGCGCTGACTTTTCAGTTGCTGAGTACTTCACTCACTGCAATGGAGATGCATGCAAATCTATTTTTCTTTTCTGTACTGTGCGATTTGGGCTGTCGTCTTTGTAAATGGTAGCCTTCAGTCCAGATCTTCCTGTCTCTGCTGTGTTAACCTTTTGAGCTTGACGCTACCTGAATGCCGCCCCACATCAACACCTGCAAAAATCGCGTTTTTCCTATGAAAGTAGTAGCTGTTCAAGGATCGATAACTTTACCTTCCTGCAAAGGTCTTGAGGCGAGGAACAAAATAGTTCCAAGCTCAGCTCAGAGCGACACCAAAAGCCCATGCTACAGTCTGGCAAACTTCACGCACGCGCTCGACAGACTTGAGCACGGCCAGGAGATCAAATTCTCCGCTGGCATTTCACTCTCCTTGCTCGTATCGAGCTCAAATTTGTTTGAGGACTCCCCAGATCCGCTGCCATCATTTGAATCTAGTTTCCATGGCAGCAGATAGCGCGAAAATGGAAAATACGCGTTCTGCAGAGTTCGCAAAAAAATCGATTTGAATTTGCCGTGTCGAGTCGCATATCTCAACAACCCGGGGTCGTATCGCTTCGGCGATTGTTTCTATCGCAAGCTGAGAGTTTTCTCTTGCAGATACATATTTCGATCGTGAGAATCGGCCAAGAATTGACCGAGTTACGATAGTTTGAACTCACGCGGTTCATGCAAATCGCCCTTGTACGCCATGTACACTCACAACGTAATAATACGTCATGCGTGGGTGCAGTGACACTGTACGTGACGTATTAATACGTCATGCGTGCTCAAAGGGTTAATAGTAGCCAGTGCAGGCTGACGTAATAAAAATGACTCCTCTGTGTTCCTTTCCCGTCCACGGTACCTGCATAGCCCGATGGCACAATGGAGTTTGTCGCAAATTATGTCTTGTATTACACGTGGTTATTGGTATTTCATGCTTAGCTGCAAGGTTTGAAAGGTTCTATTTTGTTTGGGTTCTGTCCATTTTGTGTGTTCAGCAACTGGTTCCTGTGACCGAAGAGGTCAATGTTCCCTTTGAGTATCATCGATTCATCATTGGCAAGAAGGGTGCTGGTGTTCGCCAGCTAATGGAACAGCACAATGTCAACATCACAATTCCTCGCCTGGAGGAATCCGTGGACCATGTCCTGGTCAAGGGTCCAGTTGACTCAGTTGCACGTTGCCGCATTGCGCTGGAGGAGCAGGTTACTCGCCTGGACAGCGAGAAGGAAGACAGGGTATGTACTTTTGGTTGCTTCCAGTGTCCTGGATAAGATGTTGATAACTTACTACCGTTGTATGTGAATTGGCTACTAAGAGACTTTTTTTGCAAATTGTGCGCTTGAAACTGAAAGCGAACTTACTATGCAGCTTAACTGGCACCATTGTTTGTTGGAATCACCTGTCGTTTCAGGATCGCAAGGCCTTCAAGATGGAAATCCATATCGACCCCAAATACCATTCGAAACTGATTGGCCGCCGTGGAACTCAGATCAGTGGGTGGCGTGCCAAGTACGATGTTCAATTCAATTTCCCCAGCAAGGACGAGCCAGAGAGCGATCTGATTGTCCTGCAGGGTTATGAAGAGAACTGCATCACGGCCAAGGAGGAGATTGACCGTATTGTTGGCGACTATGTAAGTTCATTCTCGCTATTGCTTATGCATCCGTTTGTGTTGTTTGCAGGTCAGTATATCATGGTGTCGCTTAATTGCCGTTATTCAGGTAATCTCGCCTTCCAGGGCATTAGGATCAACGTCGTTGCAGCTAGCTGTCTGTGGCCTCTGGGCCATGAGCATTAGGAATAATCATATCGAACAAATGATTTTTAAATCGGCTCTGAGCGTCAAAGTACTCGAACAGCAAGAATCACAACAAGTTTTGCACGAAAGCAAATAATTCGCAAACCAGACAGAGTGCGCAACCAAGACGAGGTGAGGGAGTGTAATATTAAATCTATGGTTCTTTTTCTTACATTATCTTGCCGTGCAGGAGAGCCAAGTCAGCGAGACGATTGACGTGGATCCTCGCTGTCACAGCCGTCTCATCGGGCAACGTGGCCGTTCTATCCGCAAGGTCATGGATGACTTTGCTGTTGAAGTGAAGTTCCCCGCGGACAAGAACAGTCCAACCATTACCATTACCGGTGCTCCGGACAATGTTGATGACTGCAAGGAGCATCTTCTCCTTATTGTCGAAGAACAGGTACGTGTTAGCTATACTGCATGTTATCCTGCATACAACCAACCGTGAATTATAATCGTTGGCCTTACAGGCCCCACAGAAAGTTTAACACCCCTAGAGACTTCATGTAATTTCGCAGTGATAGCCAAAGTTCTCCTCGAAATGCAAACCCCTAAATATGAAAAATTGTTGAAAGAACCCCAGAGATATACGTAGATTAAAATATACCGTTTAGTGCCAGCATATACCCAGGTCCTGAAGGATTAGTGTTAGTTTTCACTGCTCTGTGGCCTATACCAGTAGTAGACTTTGCCGACTCCTCTTCAAAATCCTTTCAGTTCTATTTAACCCATTCACCGCTAAAGACGTATATATACGTCATTGAGAATGACCCCCAGGCGCTGAGGACGTATATATACGTCCTAGTATAAATAGCCGATTTGAGTCTTCCCTCTTGTGTGTAGTTGTCCCTGGTCGATTGGTACAGTTCCTGCCTTCAGTACGAGAGGTTGCGGGTACAAACCCAGCTTTGTTACATGACGCGTCTCTTTTTTTCTTCTTTTTCGTGCCGTGATTCAACTCAAATTGTCGACTTTTTCGTATTTTATGCAATTTGGAAGAACTTACGTCTCATATAGCACTTTGTTCCTCTTTTTGGGAACTATATCGAGTTGGTCAGCGTGATGATCATAGCCTTGGTCAACCTTTCACAACAGTTCAACAACCTGGTTACCTAGAGTATGAAGTTGTGGAGCTTTACATTGGCCCTATTATTAGTAAATTCTTCAGAGCCTCAGATGAAAGGCCCTGTAGCCCTCAATGGGTTAATCACATGTCCTGTCACGTGTGGATTGTTTTGGTTGTGTGTACTAGATGCAAGAGATACAGGAGCGTGATGAGGAGCGTGCCTTGATGAGCCAGTACACTCAGGCCCCCAGCCGCCAGATGGAGCGCGAGAGGGCTAATACTGGTAACTCGAGCTTTGTCGTTCGCGATGCACCCTGGAGTGCACAGCTCGAAAATGAGCAAGAGTTCCCGACGATGGGTGCTGCTAGCAAATCTTCATCTGCTCCGTCGTGGGGACCCCGTCGACGATAAACCGGTTTCTCGATGCTTGCTTGAACCAGGGCTGGTTCGACTTTTCCGCTTTCTCATTTTTTGCATTTTGTAGCTCTTTTTATTTCTTCATAGCTAATGGAGATCAGATCACTCGGCACACTTCCTAGATTCTACTCCAGCTTCATCTATTTTTCTACCATTTGCTCTCGCTGTCGTCCCCAAATTAGCAGTGCTCTGATCTCCTGATGGACGTTCACTTCGACTGTAGTTTTGTCTAGAAGTCTTTGCTGGATGTTTTCTATTTTACACTATCCTGGTTTACCTACTTTCCCTGATCCACCGTAGAAATTAGTGCTTATAACTGTATTGATTAAATTTACTTCGAAGTATCTCTTTCTGTCTATTTTCCTAGTGATATTGAAATCCCTATCCCTCCCTAGTCTTGCTGTATCTTGTGACTGTGCTGTCCACATATGGCATGTATATGGCATATCTCTTATGGATTCCACATGCTCCTTGTATTTCTTCTGGTCTGTTTGGTCCCAACATTTTATCTGGATCAATGGCGATATAATTCGAATTGTCTTGCTTTGCTGTGACATAAGCTATGTCGCTCCACAGCCCTCTCAAGCTGCATCCCAAGCCCGGTGCCTTGCTCGCATTCAATACTCTCTTGGGATTGAGTTGCCACTTACTTTTTGACGCTCATTGTGTGAGTGTGTGTGTGTGCACAGGTTGCTATGTCTAACATAGCTGTTCGCTATGATCCTGTCCCTCCAGGAAATCGCGATTCCACGGATGCAACAAACTTCGCGATTTTCGCCCAAACCCGCGATTTTCAGCAAAATCTGCGATTTCCCACGTTTTTTGTTGTTTTCTGCACTTTGCACTGTATACATGTAGCGACCTCGCTGCATGACGTCATGCTCCCTCACCAGATGCAGATAACGCATGCGCATGAAACATTTCTTCCTCTTTGTTCTAAATAAAACGACTCCCTGACAACAACGCACAGAGTGCCACGGACAAAGTTGCCCTCTCCAGCTCCTCGGAGTTGTAATTCTGTCCCTCCAGGAAATCACGATTCCACGGATGCAACAAATTTCGCGATTTTGGCCAAAAGTCTGCGATTTCCCGCGTTTTTTGTTGTCTTCTGCACTTCTTTTTACATTTTTCTTCACTTTTCACGCAGTATACAGTGCTTTTCATGATCCTGTACGTAGGTTATTTGCACTGTACGCAAATAGCGATTCTAATGATTCAACAAATTTCGTGATTGGGCCCAAATCCGGAATTTCCTGCCAATAATTCCACGAGTTCCTGGCAAGTTCGGCAACTTTCCGCACTTTTCGCCGCATTTTTTGTTGTTTTCTGCCGCAATTTCTTGCGCAAGTTTTCGAGGACTTTTTCCGCAAATTCCCGCAGGGACAGGTAATTTATTATTTAGGCCCCATACCAGGTGGTATGTCCCGGGATTCATCTGTCTCCCCCGTGAACAGATACGACCTCTGCCATCTTGGGTGCCTAAATTGGTGACCCCGACGTGATGTGTGGTGCCACTGGAGTTGTAACTTATTAGGCCCCAGTGGTATGTCCCGGGGTTCATCTGTCTCCCCCGTGAACAGATACGACCTCTGCCATCTTTACTTGGGTGCCTAAATTGGTGACCCCCTGCTGACGCTGCGCTCGCGGAGTATCTAATATTTCAATTATATTTGTATAGACCTTACCGGTATTCGATAAACGTCACAGTCACGTGAACCGGGGTCCCGGGAACCAGGGAGTGGCAAGAGACCTGCACTCAGTGCACAGTGGACTTTTTTTTTAAAATCAGTGAGCATGTCATGAAAATAAATCCGAGAAGAAAGAAAAAGGCCCAACCGGGGTTAACCCTGCCCTGCCAGTTATTTGGACTTACGGGGGTCGCCATGGCAGGGGACTCGGCGTGGGAACATAGGAGTAGATAAATATCGGTATTTTACTACTCCCTTGTACGATCTGAGCCTTTCTTAATTCTTGCCACTCGTTTCACGTACGCGTGCCCCAGCTTACGACAAATCCCTGGAGGCGAGTCCAAAGATCACGTTATCGAATAAGGTCTATACAGTAGTTTTTGACTTTCCGGATTTGGGAATTTGTGGTGCCTCTCGCCGCCCACCCGCCCTCGGCACACCTGGAGCTGCTGCGGACTACGCCCTCCTGCCGCCGCCATCCGTCGTCATGCTGTTTCCGCCCGTCAGCCTGCCAGCCATCCCTGGTTTTCGACACAGTCCGTTCCTGTGTGCACCGCATTCTGGCTGCCCGTCAATCGCCGGCGGTTGACGTAAAACTTGAGCCTCACCACCACTGGATCCGCCTCGCGTTCGGAGCTGCTGTGGCCCCTGCCACCCTCCCACCTGGATACCCCGCTATCCTGCCACGGCCCATCGTCCAGTCGTCGTCGTCCGTATTCGTCCTGGCCTCAAGCTGGAAATTGGCCACCTCCACCATCATACCAGCTAACTCTCGTGCACGCACGCAGGCACACGCCCCGCTTATCGGATTTCTTGGAGCTGTGCTCGCCTCCATCCATCCCGCCTCACTCGACACGCCTCCATCCATCCCGCCTCACTCGGCACGCCTCGTCCCAGTGTAGTGTTTCTGCTGGTCCCATGCAAAGCCTGCAACATGCAGCCGCCTCTGACACGATAATACTCATCTGTCACGCGTACGTTTCCTCTTTTCTTTCTTTCTGCCTCTGACATGCTCTCCAGCTCTGTCACGTTAAGGGGGCAGCCTACCCATAAATTTCATATGGCATTCAATTTACCGTAACTTTGGTGTTTCTCAGTGGATTTGAGTGAAATTTTGACCACACACTCCTGCCACTATGCTGGCCCTCAGGACATGATTTACAAGTTCTTGCGCCTCACTGACAGGCTTTCCAGGCCGGAAGAACTAAAAATTCCGGCATAGTGCCACGGTGTGCGAGCCACCCAGGAGCCAAACAAATGCATTTACAATTTTTTCACATTTTCGTGCTCATTCTGTTCGTGCGCGGGACCCAAACCTAGAACAAGTCCAGAAGCAGCCATGGGTGATGGGGTAGGGCCCCTCAACGAGGCCCTGGAATCTGTCACAACGGAACGAGTGGGCGTTCTCTCACACACTCCCACCGACCCAAGTCAATTTTTGAATTTTTTTAGGTTTAGCACGTGCTACGAGGTCGTACCTTTGATACAACATCCAGTGCTGGGACCTCCACAGCAAGCCATTTCCACAGCGCTGCACACCAAATCCAGGATGCCCTCAGAAACCGGCAAAGACTGCCACTCACGTTCCACTACTGCCTAGTACCGTAAAAGTCCGTAAATAAGTACCTGCCCGAAAGAAATACCCCCTTCATTCTTTTGGCTCTGTCTGGTGAAGTCAAGTCAAGCCCGATAAACATACTGCCCGAAATAAGTACCGTTACGATGCGCACATGCAGCACGTAGCATGTACATCGACATGAAAATGACTTCTCCACTACACACAAGTCAGGTCCGAAAGTTAGTTCGTGCCCGAAAGTCAGTACCCGCCCGAAAGTTAGTACGGGTGTGGTCACTAAATTCAAAAGTAAATACGTACTTATTTACGGACTTTTACGGTACTGAATCCTACCTGACTTCTTGACACGACTCAAACTTGCCAAACTCCCCAAAGTCACTAAATCAACGTCAACTACAATAATCAAGCCACATATCTGCAACGTCACGAGGGTGCTGGCAAAAGTCCTGCTGCACGGCGGCGGGCTTTGCCCGCCGCCGTGCAGCCCAATACGTGGTTTTTAACGTGATTTTTTGGACTTCTTTGGACTTGAAGCAAAATTCTGCACACTTTCGCGTGTTTCCATAATACGACAAGTTGCGCACGGTCTGCTCACATTCAAATACAGTGCTGCCAACAAATGACAGCATGCAACAAAAAAATCTTTCCTTGCAAGGGCACATTTTCGGCCATAACTCTTGAACGGCTGGTCAGATAGGGACACAATTTTCAGAGAATTTGCAGCTATTCATGCTCTTTCAACTGACGTAGCACTCAATATGAATTTACAAATTCGATTTTTCAGCGAATTTTTGGGTAGTCTGCCACGTTAACCCGCCTCTGTCATGCATCTCTCTGTCCGCTTCCTGCTTTTCTGATTTTTGTTTCGGCCTTTGTGCCACGTTGGTAACAAATTTCATACACGCAGCGCTCTCGCTTGTACATACTGTATCATACTTCGAAGTATTTTTTCTCTTTCGTTCTCTGCGCTCCGCTTGTTCTCTGGTGGGGGAGTACTGTAGCGACCGCGCTGCATGACGTCAGCTCCCTCACCAGATAAACGCATGCGCATGAAACATTTCTTCCTCTTTGTTCTAAATGAAACAAGAACAATTAGACAACAGTTACCCTCTCCTCGGAGTTGTGATTTATTAGGCCCCAGGGTGGTATGTCCCGGGATTCATCTGTCTCCCCCGTGAACAGATACAACCTCTGCCATCTTGGGTGCCTAAACCACGCAGTGCTTTCCATGATCCTGTAGGTTATTTGCACAGTACGACTCGTACTACTCCCGAGTAGATAATACGATGCAACAAATTTCGTGATTTGGCCCAAATCCGCAATTTTCTGTAAATAATTCTTCGAATTCCTGGCTAGTTCTGCATCATTCCGCACTTTTTGTCGCATTTTTTGTTGTTTTCTGCCGCAATTTCTTGCGCAAGTTTTCGAGAGTTTTCTCCGCAAATTCCCGCAGGGACATGCTTCTGCGCATGCGGTGGGCAGGTACGTCTGAGGTGTGTGTGCGGGAAAAAAATAAAAAAGACCAAAAAGTAGGGATTCACCGGCCAGAAAAAGCCACTTCATGTGTGGTGTAGACCAGGTTGAATAGTGGCGGTCAATTCTTCAGCCTTGCAAGCTGTTGAATGGTGCAATCCCAGCACAAGCTGCTATGGCTTCTGCTGTATCATCGCCTCCGGCGATGGGCGTCCAATGGTGTGTGTGTGTGGTGTCAGGGCGGAAATTAGACGTGACGGAACACAGAGACACATAGTTGTATGCTCCAGATGAAGATGAGTGAATACTAATTGCTCCGGCTTCTCGATCAGTCTGATACGGGACCGGAGTCGAGGGAGCAAGCGGATAATGGTGCTGATAAAGCTATGGAGCCATACACATAACAGAACATGAATCTCCAAAACTCGGGCAGGATTTCCTTCATGAAACTGGGTTCTCTGGCAAAGTTGTAGATAGTGGAAAATGTGTTACACCAAGCAAGCGCGAACGCGCGCAACCGGTTGTTGCTTCCAAAGTTTGCGGGCTTTTCCGAGATATTCACAATTTAAAATGAAGATGGTGCAGGTGCATTATTTGCATTTATTGACCAGAATATGATCCATGTGATGATCAAGTGCACAAGGTAGGAGGGAAAACAGAAAATTGGAGAGGACTCTACTTTGAGTGAAGGCAATATCATGGCATTGGTTTCGCAAATTGACGCAAGAGGCGTCCTCTGTACTCGCAATAATCTGCCGACGGCCCTTCGGTAGGCACCGGCGGATTATGCCGGCATAATTATTGGCATAATTTGGTGGTTGAACAGCAGGCAGGCATAGTGGGATGGTCTAAGACCAGGATTGAGAAACAGAGGGTACCAGGTTCAAGTCCTGCTTGGAAGCGGAAGGAATT